GATAAAATAAAAGTCGGTGGCGACTCTTGCTTACCGCGATATTTTACGAAAACAAACGCAAAACGCAAACCAGCATTCCAAAAAACAGTCAGTTCTTTCCCACCGTATCACACTATTCTTTTAAGATCATAAGAACTCCATGAATTTTATATGACCCTCTCCTGAAAACTTGGTCTCTATCATTGAAATAGTGAAATTTCAGAAGGAAGTATCCCTCCTCATGGTATAACATATTTTGGAGTTGAACAAAATTCCAGAATTTGCTCATATATTGTTTGACAGCATTCATACTTAAATCTTTTCCCAGATAATACATAACCAACGATGCTTCCCAAAATTTTATTTATGAGTTTACACCTTCAGCTTCAATTTCTACTACATATTCCCCATCTTCGATCTTTGGTGCACTGAAATCAATTGCCACTCCATTCTATGGTAGACGATTACAAATATAATATTATATATATATATATATATATATATATATATATATATATATATATATATATATATATATATATATATATATATATATATATATATATATATATATATATATATATATATATATATATATATATATATATATATATATATATATATATATATATATATATATATATATATATATATATATATATATATATATATATATATATATATATATATATATATATATATATATATATATATATATATATATATATATATATATATATATATATATATATATATATATATATATATATATATATATATATATATATATTTGTAATAGTTAATAATAGGTTTTGTCAAAAAAAGAATATGTCCTGTATCATAATAGGTTTTGTCAAAAAAATAATATTATATTTTTCGTAATATTCATAATATATAATATATAATATTCTTTACCTATTATATATTTTATATATTTGTATAATGTATTTTTCGTATAATAGGTTTTGTCAAAAATACGTATACAAATATATAATATGTCCTGTATAATATTATATTTTTCGTAATAGTTAATAATAGGTTTTATCAAAAATATATATCCTGTATCATATTTTTTTAACATATTATTATTTTTTATATCTAATGTTTTACGTATTAAATTTTTTAATGAAAATAAAAATAAAGAATATTGAATGTGTCTTTTAATATATAAATATAATTCTCGTTTAATGATTTATATTAATATTTTTATATAATATTATCTATAAAAATATTTAATGACGTTTACTTAATCAATGTCACATATACTATATAAATTACTTAAATAATATGTTTTAAAGAAATTATTATGTGATTAAAAAATATTTTAAAATATATTTTATATTAATAATAATAAATAAAATAGAGATGCCCTAAATTAATTAATAAGTTAAAAATTTAAAAATTTTATTGATTGAATAAATATAAAATTATAAGACATAAATATTTGAACAGTTTTTTTCTTTCAATTATGTAACTATTATTTTTCACTTACCATTCACTCGTTTATTGTATTGCAATATATTTTAATATAAAAAAATAATAATTCATTTTTATAAATTCTTATACATAATAATGATGTAAGTTTTTTAAAATCATTAACATTTATAATTCTATTTAATAAAAATGAACAAAGTGTTCATATAAAAAAAAATATAAATAAATAAAATATCATAAAAATTATAATTTAAAAATGTCATTGATTGAGTAAACATAAAAATATATCACGCAACTATTTGAATTTTTTTTTTCAATTTTGTAACTGTTATTATATAATTATGACCATTCACTCATTTATTATATTTATACAAAATTTAATTAATAAGCTATTAGTTATATTATTTATTATATATTGTTCTATCTATAATCATAATAATCATGTATACAAATATGTAATAATGATTTATCATCATTTTCTACAAAACAAATCTTTGAAGGTGATCTTCTATTTTTTATAATAGTTTTGTTTCTCTTTACATATATGTCTTGTTTTTGGTTTGTGTGACTTAATAGAGACTTAGTTATTCTATTACAAATATTTTAAAAAAAATTTATATTTTTTTCTTCTATTTGAATATGAAGAAGAGAATAAATTTGTGTTGGATCATTGCTGCTCAGAAGAAATGATCGTTCATGTATATTTTTATTGATGTAATTTTTGTTATTTTAGTTATAATTTTTAAATAATTGTTCACATAAATAGATATATCTTTATCTTTAATATATTTATCCAGCATATTATTATTGTTACTATTGTTTCATTTGTTACTATTTATATGTATGTTCTTACATTTACCTTTATATGAGTTTTAATGAGTTTTAGTGTATAAATTATAAAACTAATAGTTTTATATTCGGTCTAATACGTGATCATACATGTGTTGCTTAAGATAATATCAAGAAATTCTATGTGTTAAAAATGTGTTTGAAAAATTTTAATTTAGTAGGGGTTAAATCAGAGTCGTCTCAAGTTTTTAGAGACCATGTGTAGGCTAGTCTCAATTTAGCAAGAATAAAACACACAGACGCTCTGTATAATCATAATTTAACCTAAAAAATATTTTATGAGGTCTCATTTAATCATATGTTAACCTTGAAAGTTTTGACACCACATGCGATAGGCCTTCTTGCACGCCCTCAAAGACAGCCCTGAGTTAAACACATAATGTGCTGAAAGTCATAAGCCTTTGAAATATTACTATTTAGAATTTAAAACGAAATATAGTTGTTTTATTAGAAGATCTAATATTTTTTTATATTAATTCTACAAAACTGTTTTTTAGATTATTGTATTTGATTCTAATTTTAAATATGGTTTAACAACTAATATTTTTTTGGTTATTTAGTTTTATAATAGTTCAATTTTGAAATTTCCTTTTGTGTGATGTTTTTTCCGTTGATTGTGATTGGACCGAGAATATTAATGATATTGATAAGTAAGTCATTTGAATATTTAATTTATTTTTTTATTACATAAATTTAAATAATGGTAATTATATCTTAATTTTGTATATTTTATAATTATTGTATCTTAAAAACATCTAAATTTATATAATTTTGGTTATTATAGTTTAAATGTTTCTATAATTTATATTTATTTTTAATTAATAATTACATGATTATTTGAATTAAAATAATTATTATTAAAATTATTTTTTTAATAAGTTTTTGTAATTTGAATAAAATCAATTTTTTATTCATTTCTTAAAATAAATCTATATCGTTCCTAAAAATAATATCAAACTTATTTTTTATGAGGAATTTATATTTTTATTGATTTTTTGATTTTGCACAGATTAATATTTACAAATTTTTACTTAACAAATAAATTTAACAATAAATTGTAATATATCTTATTTGTCTTAATAAATATGAAATATGTATAAAAAAATATCAATTATTTAATTGAGTAAATGATATGCATAAAATGATGTTCGTAAGAAATCATAAAATTTATCTTATATTATGATCTGACCTGATCAGAAATGGACCGTCACGGCTGGCTCCGAGCAGAAAGCTTTTTTGGACGAGGTGGGGGGTACCTGCAAGGCACTCCGATGCTGAAGTAAGTAGGAGTACGAGCAGATAATAGTAAGTTGAGGTTAGAATGATGAATACCTGACCCTCTGGAAACAGAGGGTATTTATAGCTCCCAGCGCTGGGCCAAGGTTCCTTCATTGGGCCGGGCAGGTTTGGCCCAATGAAGGAACTGCCAGGTTCTACGTGCGTAGTGGGGACCCGCACGTGGTCCCCTTCCTGGATGTTCTGCGTGAAGTGCGGGCGGACGGAGACGCGGTCTTTTCGGGGACTCGTTGGGAGTGCAGTGGACTGAGTCTGCCCTAGTTGGGATGCTCGAGACAACGTCGAGCTGGACAGCAGGGTGTCGAGCTGGACGTTAGGACGTGGAGCTGGAGGGCAGGGTGTCGAGCTGGACGTCAGGACGTCGAGCTGGTCGTCAGGAGGTGGAGCTGGGCATCATCACGTGGAGTTGGACAGCGGTTGTCGAGCTGGACATCAGGATGTCGGGCACGGATGCGACCCCTTTGCTCGGCGTGGTCCTTAGTAAGTCCTTTTGGACTGGGCCTTAGCAATGCTTTTGGGCCTGTCGGGTCCAGTCCATAACATATTATAAGATTAATTTTATGATTTCTTATAAATGAAAGTCTAAATAATTTATCTATGTAAGTAGATATAACATAAATATGTGTAATTTAATCTCATATTATTGACTAAAATGTATATTTTTATTTGTAATTTATTGTCTTTCATATCAAAAAATTAATAGTACAATTGCAAACATAATCTAAATGACCTATAAGATATTTTTATATGCAAATAAAAAATTAAATATCAATTATTATAAAAAAATGTAATTTTATTTCTAATATGCTTGTATGAAGTACGGATCAATGATCTAATTAATATTACATCGATAATGTAAAAAAAATTTACGGACAGTTAACCATGATTATTACATTCTTATTAATAATTGATTTTTATTTTATTCATCTAAATATATTTGTAAATAGTTGTGATGCACGTATAAACAAATTTACACATTGCATAGCAATCATTAGTCTATTTTTTAAGGAGATTATTTTAAACTAACCTATCAAAAAATCAATTAAAAAATTTAATAAAAATAATATGTTAACCTAGAAAAACCACCTAATTCTACGGAGAAATCGAAGTATTTTCTGTTCTCCAGCGGTAAAAGAAAAAAATAGCATCTCATGTTTCAACAGCCGAAATTCCTAATATAGCCTTGGAAGCATTGAATTAATTGAACCGTAACAAAGGCAAGGTGCATCAAGTAAAGAAAGGCAAAACCGTAATAAATGACAGATCGAACATCGATCGTAACAACGTACCGATTCACCTAAACGTCATAACAACGAAAGACACTTCATCGGATACCCTACAAAAACAAACACCTACAAAAAAATTTCTAAAACCTTAAAATTTTCAAAACACACCTTGCGTTGTCTTTCCGAAAATTTTTTCTTCAGAGAATTTTTTCGAAGATGATGCACATGACTCTGTATTGGGGAAAAAACGTGACACTTCTATTCGATTCGTGGAAGACCGATTCATGGACGAGTTATCTACTGAGTTTGTTCGCGTGTTTTTTGATTGCCTCTTTCTACCAGTATCTGGAGAATATTCGGATTCGGTTGAAGTTTTTCTCCGGTGGGAAGGGGCAATCTCTGGTGCCGGAGAATCGGGCTCCTCTTCTGGGGTTGAATAAGGTTTCTAGAAATAAGGTTGCGGAATCGGGTTTGTTTGGTGTGAATTCGGCGATTGGGTATTTGTTGATGTTGGCTATAATGTCGTTTAATGGAGGGGTTTTTGTGGCTATTGTTGTTGGTTTGACGCTTGGTTACTTCTTGTTTAGGAGTCAGGGGGAAGAAGATGCTGCTCTAGTTGTTGATAATTCTTGTGCTTGTGCTTAGTTTGTGGTTTTGTGCTTCAAATTCATTTCATGTAATAGTATTTGTGAATCTGCTAATTTTCTTCTCTGTATCATCAAAATTAAATACCAGTAATAATCATTGGAACTTAATGTTATTGGTTCTTATTAAAGTAGTAGTTCTATTAGTTTTGATGAGTGTATGTCGGAAATAATTCTAAACGCTTGGAAATGGTTGTATTCTTCTTGTATTTTAGTTGATGGTTGTTGTAACTTTCATATTTGGAGTACACTATGTTTTGATGAGTGTATGTCGGAAATAATTCTAAATGTTTGGAAATTGTTGTATTCTTCTTATATTATAGTTAAAGATGGTAACTTTCATATTTGGAATATCTTACATTTTGATGAATGTATGTCGGAAATAATTCAAAATGTTTGGAAATGGTAGTATTCTTCTTGTATTTTAGTTGATGGTTGTGGAATACCCTACCTCTTATTTGCTTTAGGATGTAGGGACTTTCCAGTTGTAGTTGTATTCGGCTGAAATATTTCTTATACTCCCTTTAATAGTAGCATTGCCTATTAAAAAAGAAGTAGCAATTCTATTCTCTCTTTTTTTATTGTTGTTCTGGTGCGGTACATCTGTATTTGCATTGCTAGAATCATAGGCAGAAAATGAATGTCAGAAATGTGTGCTTAATTAGGGTGCGAGTGTGTATTCCTTTAATCTGTGTAAACATCTTTGAAGAATGGTCTGTAAGTGTTTTGCTCTTTCAAGAACAACTTTATTTTAGTAGAACAGATTTGGCCAGCCAGAAGCGAGGAACAGAGAGAGGCAGGGGAAAGACACAATGCTGCTGGTTGTATCAAGCATGTCTTTTGTTTATGTCGCCAAATCGATATGGATATCAATCACCATTAAGTAACCCTCAAATATGGCAGCTGTGGGAGAACAGATAAGGCTCCCAAATCATATGGGAGTGAAGGGGAAGAATGAATAAATAAAAACGATATGGCAGCATCTATTTTCACACTGATGTATTTCTACCGTTGGAAGTTAACAAAATAAACGGACCATCAAATTGAGTGAGTTGTTTAGCAGTTTGTAACAATCTGAAATTGCACCTAACCTCTAAAAACATGAATATAATCAAGGAAATATTCTATGGTAGAAATTATAAGATACAAGAACATATACACAACTAAAGCTTGAGGTTAAGAGTTGTTAAAAGATGAATCACGACATGAGAAGTTGAGCCTTTTCGAAAAATATAAAAGCACTGCAGTAACATGGTCTTCAATTTGAGGATATTAACAGCCTCCATGCGAACAGGTCCATACTCTATGAGTTCGATAAATGATGATCATTGTCAGTATAAAACCCATGGTGTGAAAATCGTTTTTCATGTAGTTGAAGCATCGGGAGCAACAAATAACCCAGAACTGATACTGCCTGTGGATCCTATAGGGTCTAAGAAACAGCCAGCAACTCTGTAAACATGAAAACTGCCAAAAAATAAAATAAGGAAGATTATGTCCACACACTATAGTTGATCTTCAGTTTTGAACATGGCGAGTTCACTTTCTTGCGATAAGCTCTTGTACTTAAAACTGTTAGGGAGCCATCTGTGCAGTCTCTCGGGCCATAACCTGACAACCAAGACATTGAAGCAAATTTGGTTATTTTTATTTTAATTAAATTTGTTTGGAAAAAGAAAAAACAAAAACAAAAACAACTGCTACAATTTTGCTTTATCCCATTAAGTAGGGTCGGCAAAACCCCATTAAGTAGGGTCGGCAAAACCAATAATAACAAAGAAGGTAAATTTCAATAATGAAAGTCACATTTTATCATGAGATGGAATAACAAATAAAACTGAATAAATTCTGAACTTCTGCATTAAACTAACCCCAAATTAAGTGCTCATGAATTGACATTTGACAAATAATTTCCAATTGATAGTGAAATTCCATGAAGTATGATACACCAACAAGGTTTTAGGTGCTATGACTAAAAAAATAAGATGGCCGTAGGATAAAAACTGTGTAAAATGTAAAATGATTGTGATGCATTATATCAGGGATCTTAACTTATGTTGGCAGTCACAGCCTATTTTACACTCCCACCACACTTTCATTGTCCTTCCCCAATGCAGTGCATCCCTAAGTCCAAACCCACCTTCTCTCGAGCACCTTTTTTCAACTTTCTCTCATTAAAGCAAGTGAAGCATGGAAGATGAAACAGAAGGCCTGACACGGCCTACCCCACAACCCTTTCATTGTCCTTCCTCAATGCAGTCTTTTAGTTCCCTATACATTCCTAAGCCACAAACCACCTTCTCATTAAAATAAGTGAAGCATGGGAGATGAAACAGAAAGCATATCCGAGTGTTTTACATGGATCAATATCCGACACTAGTACAACACCACTAGAACACACGTAGGACTATGTTCTAATGGTCGGAATACAATTATTTCTTGGCTCTTACACATTGAGGGCATGACTTAGACACCTAGTTGACAATTCCATATAGCTAGACATGAAAAGGAACAAAGATGACATCTATATTTTGGACAGTACAAGTGTCTATGTGTCTCGTGTCCAAGTATGTGCTTTCAAAAGACTTGACCAATAAATTACCCAATGTAGGCAACATGATTATTTTATTGTTACTCTTTGAGATCTCCCTTTTCCTTAAGTTTTTCATGTAAACGGACAGTCTAGGTGGTAAGGCTAACAATTAAATTGGCAAAAAGAGTGCACAAGTCTGGAATATGTAATGAGGATATTGAAATTAGACCGACCCAGAGATTTACAAGCACAAAGAAGAGATGATAAAATTCACTTTGAAATTTCTTTGAAAATAGAATAAAATCAGGACTCACTTATCCAGTCTTTCACAAATTGCCCGACGAACAGAAGAATTGAGGCCATAAGCAATTGAGTTAAAGAGGCCCTGCAATAAATAGAGAAAAATGAGAAAGTTTATCGAGATGCCACTATAGTACTTTTCATAAGGTAGCATGACACAAATTTGAACCAAGGGATACCAAGTATATAAACTGAAAAAGCATTGAACAGTTCATTAAAATGGAAAGCAATTATCAGTAGTTATGCCATGCAATTACCTTGTGTGTAAGTTTAAAAAATTTTCAAGTGCTAGTGCAACTGGGGACGTTTCTATAATAATTACGAACTCACAATCATGCTATGTATGACGTGAGGTTGAAAACTAAAATTTGTTAAGTTGTCGTATCCTCTAAAAACATTGTGATTTTATGTTTAATTTGCAAGAATCATCCTCCTTAAGTTCAAATGCAAAGAAAAAACAATGACCCATGATAACATGCTGTAAGCTGTTTAAATTGAATTATATCAAACTACTACAAAACTACACACTAGCTTTTTGCACTTGGAATACACAAACACTGGGAAATGCCCCTTATGAGCCAGTAGAATGCCAGCAAGGCACGCATTACTTAAATTATTATCTTTTTGTTAAAAATGTTGGACAACGTTGAACACGCTATATACCCAGATTTCAAACCCTAGTGAATTGTGTAAATACATCAAATATCAAAATGCACCTGGATAACAAATCAATGCATTTGAGTATGTTATTAAGATATTGTCAGGGAAGATGTGATATTCCAGATTATTTAAGAAAGTAAAATGTTAACAAATGGGCCTTAAAAGATGAGTAGAACCAACAAAAGATTAGTAAGGAAGATAAAGCTGAAAACAGTATGGACATTTGTAGTTACCATAAGGGCAGCCGTTCCAACATCAAGAAACGAGAGCCAAAATATCTTGTGGTTAGGTTCAAGAAAATCATGAATTCGGTTAATAGTGCCAAAAGCCCATGATCCTATTAGAATTAGTGGATAGTATCCCCATCGATTCAGAGCCTGCAAAGCAAAATCCAAACTCAAGTATTGATCAATTACAACATAGATGCTACAGGCAAATAACACACATTGATCCAAGCATGGATGTAAATATACTCATGAAAATCCAAACAGTAAATGTAAGAGTTGGGCCTCTCTAAACAGCATTAGAAACCACAGAAAAGTGTTAACTGTGAATTTTTTTTCAGTGAAATAATGTGAGGAATACATTATGACAGAAACATTTGTGAAAATTTCCTTTCATTACCGAAGTAGTCAAAGCATTTGAACAATATACACATATTACAATGGGCATGCCACAAGATAAAATGTAACAGGTGAAATATGAAAAGGCACAAAAGATGACTATATTGAAAGTAGCTAGATATAACTGAAAACTTATCGAGTGATTTTCTTTTATTTTTGGTTTTACTAGATTCACCAATTAAAATTAAATCCAGAAACAAAACATGAAATATTTGGAAAGAAGAAAAACAATCCCAAGAGATCTTCTAATATACTCTAAAAATGTTTATATATGATACTATTTCACAAGGTATTTTATATATTCTAACAAAAACATTAAAAAAAAAAAACAGTATATATACCCTCATGTTGTCTCTTGAATCTGAGACATAAGATTGGCCTGACATGCCAACTGCCATCTGAAATTTTACAAGAAACAGTCTCAGAAAGTGACTGAACAAGCTATTTGTTCTTAGTTTGAAAAAGAAACATCAAAATCAGCTACATACACGGGTTGCATTATTCAGCATGCGTATAACTTGCATGTATGTAAACCCATTATATAGAATTGCACCCCAAAGTGGCATGTAAAATGTAATAAAATGAACTGCCTGCATAGATAAAGAAACATATTTTTAGATGACACAGGTAAAGGAAAAATTACTAGAGTATTTTGATTAGCAAAATACATATAAAAATGCAGTAGCTATGCAATCCAAATTTTCAGAAACATTGGCAGTGCTTGTTGTTAGTCTGCTATCTTTATAATATTCATTAACATTGCAACCTTTTCTTGGATATTGACATAATGGGGAGCATCCTAAGCACTTAACAAAAATGCTGATTGAATGTTGATAGAACTTTTAAATAACAGAAAAATTTGCTCAAGTGAATTTTTAACAGTTGTTAATTTTAGCTGCTTTACATGTTAATCAACATATTTCTTTTAAAATTTGAAGGATAAAAAATTGCAACATGGAAACCATTTCTATCATAGGAAATCAGGAACTTACTTTAATTTCCATCAAAGAAAGGGAATTCCTGACTTGGTGATTATTTTAATTTTCCTCAAAAGCTTAATGTTTTATTTTCTCCATGACAGCATAGCTTAATAGGCAGGACAAATTGTTGTTACAAACCAGAGGCCAATAACACTTAAACCCTACTAAAGTTATGCAACAAAACTTTCACTCTTCAGAAAAGTCAATTTACATTTAATTCTCAGATTTTAAAATGAGTAAAAACTGCCCCATTGCAGGAGGCCATGCCTCTCTTAATGAATTAACTGCTTCAAATATCATGAGTAAAACCATATTAATGATGCAGAAAATGAATTTACAAAAATAATGAGGCGAGAAATGAATTTTAAAAAATTCCTATTACAACTTGCCTTCCCTGTGCGACCTGTTTGAGTCCAACACACTGTACCAAAATGATGTCTGTGGTCATTACCGAAAGAGCGCATGACTGTCATAACCAGCGAAGTACCTGTCAAAAGTTATGAATAAAAACATCAAACGAGCTCTCTTCAATGCATGTTGCGAATGGAATTGTACAAAATCAAGACTGTAGTTGAAGGTCGTCCTACTATTTATATATAGCCATAGGCCAAAGCTAATTCCATCAGCATCAATTCGTACAAGAAATTCATTTTCAAATTAAATGTCATGGGATTGGGATGTCACAGGACATGGAGATTATCGTGAAAACGGGTCATTTCTCCAAGCTACAATATTAAAGGCTGATTCATCGATAGATGCATACCCCAAACATATAAATGGAACATGCCCTCCAAATCTTCGACATCTGTTTTGTGTTTCACAACAGTGCGGTGCAAGGTAAAAGCAATTGTTGTTGTCCAAAGGAAAGATGCCACACAAAAGAAATGTGAACTGTATCCTTGAGCATAACAAAAGAAACTTTTGGATGGGTCCCTGTATCAAAATAAAACTTCTATCAATCACATGACGAACAGCTTCAGTTGATACATACATTTGAAGAAAGTTGCACTTTTGATCTAGCAAGTATACCCTATTATGCTGAAGAAACTGCAAAGCATATCCTGCAACAGGCGAAAGTGTCATCAAAGAGCATTATGGCATAGAAGAAGAGGACATGACAAGACCAATGCAATAGCTGACCATCTAATCCAAAGGAAAAGACATATATGATTCCTAAAGGAACTACTTCTCAATTGTAAAACAACATACAAATTCAAATTAAAGTAGCTAAAGCGAGCAAATAACAAGAAACAACAACAACCAAGCCTTATCCCACTAAGTGAGGTCAGTTACATGGATCAACTTGCGCCATAATGTTCTATTTAAGACCATGCTTCTATCCAAATTGTTAATCACGAGATCTTTCTAATAACTTCTCTTATGATCTTTCTAGGTCTTCATCTCCCAATAATTGTTTGACTTCTCTCCATCTGATCCACTCACCTTACAACAGAGTCTATAGGAAAGATTACAAAAATTGGTATCTCCTGACTCAAAAATGTTTACTTAAAACCTAACAATATTCATCGACCAAATGTAGGTTTTATAAGTTACCACCACCATTGAAATCAATAACAAGAAGGTAACAACTGATAAGTTTTACAACATATTGAATCGAGAAGCTTACTCTAATCACTGGCACTTGACATAACCAATATTCCTAAAAATATGAAAAGATATTTTCAGACTCCTAATTATTACAATAACAAAGTAAAACCCGGTACATCGGAAACTAGGCTAAAATGGAGGCAAAACAGTCTTGCCGAGATCCAATCTTAGAATTAAGCAGTTCTTAAATAAACTCGGTGTAAGTAAAGCTAATGTTCTTGACCAATGAGCATTAGAAACCTAAATAGTTCTTAATTGCGGTCAGCAACCGCAATAAGAAAAAGTATTATAGATTTCTGCAACGACAATTTCACTTGCATCATACGCATTCGTAGCATATTGCTTCAACATCAACTATCAATTTAAAGTTTAGTGAATTTGCTTAACCACAGCAATTTAGAATCATACTCTTAACCAAATTCAAGCTCTAGTTAGAATTACATTTAAAGTTTAGTGAATTTGCTTAAACCTAACAAATCGATAATTGAAAGCAAAATTTGAAAATATAAAGAGGAAAAACGGTGTTGTAGATCTGAGAGGAGGAAAAGGAAGCATACTGCGAGTGCGAGATAAAAAACGAGCTTGAAGGAGAACTTGCGGAGCTCCTTGAAGAGAAGGTAGCATAGTACAATGAAGGTTGAACCAGCCAAAGAGAGGCCCGACGCGCCGACGTTCACTGCTGTGAGAATCCCGCGATCGTACGCCGTTAGAGTGCTGCCGACGGCGACGGAGGTCGCCATTGAGCAGGAGGAGTTTGCGATCGCCGATCAGCTTGTTTGTTCTTAGTTAACTGATTCACTGGTTATTGAAAATGAAAAAACAAAAGGTAAAATTGAAAGGAAAAAAAATTCTCTTTCTTTTTTGGTTTTTTGAAAAAGGAATAATCAGAAGAATCAGATTCCTATTAGCGATTGATTAAATGTTAATTTAGCATTATGTTATAGCACTCCGAAAGCATGTTTAAAAATGGAATCAATCATCAAATTGATTAAGATATTGAATCACTCTTTATTTGTCAAATTATTGATTTATTCGTTGAATTACATGACTTACATGACTAAATCAGATTAAATTTGTTAATTCGGTTGAATCAATTGGTTTCTATAAATTGACCGAACCGAATAATTCGGTATTTAAAAAATATCACGACACCAATAAAATTTTAAAATATCATAATTTTACATGTTTATTCTTTAAATTTAAATTTTAAATATGATCATTATTAAATAATAAAATAATAAAATACAAATTTAAATAAATTTTGAACAAGATTTAATTGCAAGCAAGAGATAGTTGTTTCAAATAAGTTTTAAATAAAATTGTTTAGGACTAGGCTGACACTTGCCACACTGTTGAGGAAGCCCAATCCAGCGCCTTTACCAAAGACCCAAAAGCATGCAGCCCAAATTGAGGACCGTTGGGCATTTCCCCACGTGTCCACTAGGAGAACGTAGCTCACGTGTCCATATCATCATCATCCTGCCCTCCAAGAATAACGGGTTCAACTCCCGTTTTCTCGGGGCAATTAACCAGTGAGGAGGTTACATGTTGGACTTCATACACCTGTAAACTCTGGCAGTCTTCGTTGTTGGGCCTCATTGTGGCCCATCACCAAAGACTTTGGCCCAGCGCTGGAGGCTATAAATGTTTTCTCATTTGAGAGTATCGGGTATTCAATCACTCACTCATCCTCCCATACTTGCTTGCATTTGCTCTAAACCTTACTTTGACATCGGAGTGTCTTGCAGGTACCTGTTGGCTGAAGATTTTGATAATATTATTAGAAGCCAAATGAATTAAACGTTTCGATCGAAATGAAGTAAAGCGTCATGTTTCGAAGTAGCAGAAGCAGTGTTTCGAATAAGCATGTCAAAGTTGGAGCTTCGAGTGGCAATTATGGGAACATATCTAAAGAAGTCTCGAAATAACAACAAGGTTGTGTCTGGGAAGTGCGTTCGAAACGGAGAAATACCAAAGCATTTGAAATTCAAATGGAAGCGGGACATTCGAAGTTTGAAATTTATGTGCTGGAGCATTTGGAGACACGTGGAAAGAAGAAAGAGGCATTGTTCTGCATGTTCTGAACGTGGCATAATCCTATAGCAAGACCGTTATGGTCGAATTAGTATAAATAGAAGTCTTAGTATTAGGATTTCGTGTGTCATATCTATTGTACTAAATACTCAGTAACATTCAAACTACCACATGGCAAGGGAAACGAATGCAAGAGCAATGTACGTATGATAGCACCATATATTTATGATTTAATGAAAACCTTTTACCATTTCCAGCACTTTCCTTTATCGTTCTGTCAAATAACATTTATAAGTTTTCTCATTTACAGTCTTTTCACTTCGAAATCTCTTCATTAAAGTTTTACATTTCAATGCTTTCTTCACATTTCAAGCACTTTACATTTCAGAAAACTGTCATATTTTCCATGCCTTTACCTTCAAGCTTTATCCTTCGAACGCCTATTTTTACTTAAAGTCATTTACAGATTTCTTGCATTAAACGCTTTCTTCATATTTCAAACCTTTTACGTTCCAGAAATCCTTTACATTAACTGTTTTTATAATTCGAAACCATTTGCTTGCCTTTTATGCAATTTTACATGTCTTTACAATTAACATTTATTCATACAACTTAGTTTCATACACGCACATTTTGATTACATCTTTAGACCTTTAAGAGAGAAATCGAAATAAGCCAAACACCTATACAACACTCAAATATCAACCATGAATATCTGTTCGACCATGAGAGTTACTCTAATGACCAAGGAATCCTAGGATCAATCTAGTCGATCCTGTGAGTTACCAGAGGAATTGAATAACAGTCAAAAAGATTATTCGATAGTTTGGAAGGCTAGCGGTTGTTTACCAGAAATCACTGGAAACAAATTGGCACACCCGGTGGGACCAATAATTGGATATTAGAAATAAAGATTGTTGAGACATAACCATTATAAAAACGTTGGAACCTAAGAAGTTTGCTGTTTTATGAACCTGAGAAGTGGTAAAATAACCAACAGCAACCAACCTTTATCCAGAAGAAAACGTTTGGACAAAATGTCTAATTCTGACAATCAACAAGGGGAACAAAATGCCCCACATACAACAGGCACTAATGTGTCCACTTCGATTAAAACATCTAATGTGATCCCTTCGAATGCACAGTCTGTTGCATCTTCAACCAGTAATATAGCCACCAATGGAGTAAGTGGCATATCAACTAATAGTTCGATCTTAGGAAATACTAGAACCATTGGTTACCCTGGGGGATTCGTTCCACCATCAGGGACACAATCCCATTTCGCCACTCCATTAACTAGACCACCCGGTTTCGATGGAAATAGAACCAGAAATTCCTCTTATGGAATGCCAACATCTTTTATGGCAGGTTTACATAATTCCACATCAAATTCATCCCCACAACTAGGGTCTGGGTCTGGGGCGAATCAGTTTATGACAAATAACCAAGGGTCAGTGGTTTATAGCACAATGCCTATCTTAACCACAGAAAACCAGTTGGCTTTTAGGCAATTGATGGATGACAGTAACCATAATATGATAGGGGTGTTAGCACAAACCATGCAGGAGATATTTGCCCCAATAGTGCAAAATGTGACTGTGACAAACAGGGAAAACGCTGACAACATGAGTCGAATAGCAGATTTCTTTGCTCCCCCAGAAAGGCGTAGGCAGAATCAGGCGGGATTTCGAGCAAACATCCCTGTTATAGAACAAATTGCTAACGACCCAATTTATAGACCACCCAGAGAAGAAGTTAACTTAGGGGCCAGGGCACCAAGGTTAGAAGCCCCAATAATCCCAGGCCCACAAAGAGAAATTATGGAACCAGGGGCAAGGGTCGAAAGGCTAGAAGCCCCAGAGTTTTGAGAAGAATAACCTAGGGGAGTTGTCTTGGTTGGTCGAAATCAAGATGCCGATGCTGTCGTTCATAGAATTCGAAACGATAACATCTTGGCAGAAAACAATCTAACCACCATGATAGAGAGAGTCATGGCCCATAATGGCCTCAACACATGAATGAGAAGGCCAAATTATGCTTCTCCTATATTGGATTGCATAATGCATACTGATTTACCAAGGGGATATAAAGTCCTTAAATTTACAAAGTTCGCTGGGGATACCAATGAGTCAACAATCGAACACATAGCGAGATATCTAACCGAAGCGGGAGATATAGCCAATAATGAAGATCTCAGGATCAAATACTTCCCAAGTTCCTTGACTAAAAACGCCTTCACATGGTTTACCACTTTGCCTCCTGGGTCCATTGATACTTGGGCTCTCTTGGAGAGATTATTCCATGAACAATTTTACATGGGACAGTCGAAAATAAGCTTGAAGGAATTGGCCAGTGTTAAGAGAAAGTTCACCGAACCCATAGATGATTATCTGAATAGATTTAGGCTTTTGAAATCCAGATGTTACACAGTAGTGCCTGAACATGAGTTAGTCGAAATGGCCTTTGGTGGCTTGGATTATTCTATTCGAAAGAAACTAGACACTCAATATTTGAGGGATATGGCTCAGTTAGCCGATAGGGTTCGACAGGTCGAAAGGCTAAAGGCCGAAAAAGCCAGAGTCTTTAAGAATAGCAAGAAAGAAAGGATTTCCTATGTTGGGACTGAGGAAGCAGAAGAATATCCTGAATTCGAATTCGAAGAGGTCGAAATCGACCTCGCTGAATTAAAACAGGCTCCGCCTTATTCCTGCAAATTATTGGTTCCCACAAAAGGGAAAGAGATTGTTGAAAATGAGAAAAGTGACAAATTCCCAAAGAAGGTTTATACCTTCGATGTCACTAAATGTGACGAGATTTTTGACTTACTTGTCAAAGATGGCCAACTAATTGTGCCATCAAATGTCAAAATACCTCCTTTGGATCAGAGAAAGAAGAGAGGATTTTGCAAATATCATAGTTTCCTAGGCCACAAAACCTCACAATGTTTTCTTTTCAGGGACCTAATTCAAAACGCGATCAAAGATGGCAGACTAAAGTTTGCTGATAAGGTGAAGATGAAAGTGGACGAAGATCCCTTGGACGTCGCAGACACCAACTACTCCGAGCCTGCATGCATTGGAGAGATCAACATGGTGGAAACTGATCAAAGCGACGCCCTAACAGGAGAGAAGGGTACTGAAACTGAAAACTGGGTGATGGTCGAAGTCAATAAGGAGGTCACTGAAGACATCCAAAATACGCCAGAGACTTCGATTGCCACACCTGTAGCTGTTGCAAGAGAAACCCGGGCTACTGAAGGCCAGGGAAATCAAAACCAAGAACTAACACGAGTCACTGAAGGCTTGAGGCTGGAATTGGAGAAAGTCCAAATCACGAAGCCAATTTCCCCTCAGAAGGAAATATGGGACACTCTAGGGGAACCCAGTGGAAAATTTGACTATTTGGTCAAATATTCTGCCCCAGAGAGTTCGAAGGTTCAGATTAAGGATATAAAGCCCACAAGATGGGGCGATGATGAAGCTAAGGGGGAAGATGTTGAAATAAATATGGTGGATATGGAGAGGCATCGCTCTGAGATGGAGGAAGTAGAAAAATACTTAGAAAAAGAAAAGTATAGAATGAAGGATAATCACACTGGAGATGCTAGTCTCAAGGATTACCTCATGACATGCCACAAAGGAGATTCAGGCATGATATTGTGCCCTAGGTGCAGCATCCTCTGCAATCAAAGAATCGCTGCGAATTT